CCTATTCCTTTTTTCCCTAATAAAAATATTTTGAGGTTGTCCAAGATTACATGCACTTTTTTTCTGTGCCCAGAAAACCGGTTAGCCTCTTAAGGGACATGGCCTGATTTTCCATTTCCCCTCGGTTAACCAATATTGACTTTTATTTAATTTCCTGTTATCTTCATAACTTCCTTTAGCATTTTTCCCTTGAAGATACATTCTGAAGTATCTACTGCATTTGACTGCAATTGCAACCATTCCAAATGTTTCTCTCATATTAAATGGAGTTGTCTTTGCTATTCTTCAATCACCAGAAAAATTTTCACTTTGATAAATCTGTACTTGAAGAAGTCTTTGCTACTAGAAGTAGAGTTAAACATGCCAGTACTCTTAAATCTCATCCTTACAGATTATCTTGTTCTGCTGGCTTTATGAACACACTCTCTGAAGGAGAGCATAATGCTTGACAAAAGTAAGAAATGCACTTGTGAAGTTGGAAGAACAAACAGAGAAAAAGGAAAAAAAGGCAGCACAGGCAAAGGAATATATATTTTCAAATGAGGTTTAACAATAGAGAGTTATTTTTTCCATAGTGCTATGCCATAAAATCTTGTCAGTCCTAGAACAGTATTCCAGAACTTCTGAAAATGACAACAAAGGCCTTAAGCCCAAGAACCAAGGCTTTACCTTGCCTCTTCAGGACCAGGACAACAAGCCTCATCTGGCTGCATGACAGAAAAGAGAGAAGAGCAAATTTTACAGTCTGCAAGGCACAGGAGGCATCAGGTCCCCCACTGGCCAGCAGCTGCATGTCCTTCAGGTGCACAGAGCACTGTGAGTATTAATATAAATCACACTACTGTGACATTCCTTTGGTAGCAGAAACAGCTATCAAAATCAGTAACTAAGCACATACTGACATTCCTGCAAGAGACAAAAAAAAAAAAAAAAGGGGGAGAGAAACCAAAGAATTTGATTACTAAGTGAAAGCCTACATCAGTTGCTGACATGCACATTCAACTGTTCCTGGTGCTGAATTCAGCTACACGAATCCCAAAATTAAAGGTACTGGTCAAAACATTCTCTGGCTTACACTTCCTTAGGAGAATTCTTCCATATTTTATAAAAAATCAAAATATTAACTGAAAAAACATTTAATATCTGTTATGTAATACTGCACAGTAGGGACCAAACCACCATCCCTGGGCTACTATCTGCAGAAATGTAAATTTACAGCTGGGAAGAACAGGATCTGTTACCAGGTAAAGTTCTGTCATGAGGACATCAAACCCTTCAAGTTCTCTTGGGCTCTCAGACATACTGGCTTAAATACCTTGGAAACTATTGATAAAATAACAAAATATGCATGTGCTGACATGAGTTATGCAAACAAATGACATTAATACAGATTATTATCTTCAATTCACAGTTTCCTGGTACTTAAATAACTGTTGATCTAAAGAAGCCCTAGGGGGGTAAAGCAGACCTGTTTCATTTGCCATTTATAGTTTTACTAAGAACTCACTCTGCACTGTTGATAATGGAATTGTATTTACCAGGAATTTAACAGCTGACTCTCTGTTAGACACGAAGGTGAACTTCTCATTGACAAAGCCTTGTCACAATATAGCAAAGCTGGGCCTCTGTCAGATCACAAAGACTCAGAAAGATTAATGCTACAAAGGCTTAGCAAGATTATTGTTACTCTAATATTGAGCAAATGTTTCATTCCCTTGGTTATCCCATTTCCAAGCAACTCAGCCAGAGAAAGTGACCATGTCTGTGCAGGCTGTTCTGAAGCTACTGCTCATTACAAACAGGCTTTCTTTCACATTGAGATTTAGGGCCTGCAATTCAGTCCCTCAGTCTAGAATATAGAGCTCAGTACTGATCAAGAAGAAAATCAGCTCACATGAATTCTTACAGAAAAAAAATCAGAATACTCCTTTCTCCCATAAAAACATGTCCACAATTACACTAGAAAGCATAATTCAACATGATTTGGCAAATAATTTCCACGATAAATCTTTCTTTCAGGACAAAGCTGGAAATTCTACAACTACGAAAGGACATGTAATTATACCTAGGAATAACAGGTAAGAACTCTTCTGTCCAAGCTTTCTCATTATTTTTATTCAGTGTCAGTGTTAAGTCAACCACACCAGAATTTCAGAGTAATCTATTTCTTTTGCTTCTGCAAATTTACTTTTGCTTACAAGCAGTAAATGAAAGAAGAGAGAAAATGAAAAATATTGTAAAGAAGCTTTTTTGTCACTTACAAATTTGAATCTAAACAACCTTTAGGGAAAGGCACTTTTAATGAAGGAATGCATGAAGAGTGCTGGGAGCCTTCCTAAAGGCTGGCATGAGGATGCAGTCCCAGTTCTTGTCAGTGAGTCCTGTTGGCCATCTCTGCCTCCCCCTTAGCACTCCATAAAAAAGGTTTGATGGCTGTAAAAGGTGCCATGTGAACTATGTAAACCATGCACACCAAGGAGGGAGAGTCTTCTGAAAAAACTGAATTCTCTAAGTGCCCCAGAGCTGAGCCTGGGGAGTTTTGCTACATGCCAAAGTCACTGCCTCAGCTCACAGGGCAGCAACGCTTGCTCTGGTGGCACAAGTGACACTGCTCCCTCCTGACACTGACTGGCAGCCTGACCTCCCCCTCTCTGCCAAAATCCCCTCACCAGGAAAACTCCTGCAATGTGTCCTCCATGCCACGGAAAGAGCAATTTACTCCCTGGCGTCTGTTCTGCACACAAAACCAGCAGCACTGTCTCCATCTCCACAGGCACATTGCTCTGGTATTTCTGTGTGGGAAGAACATTAATTTACACTTTTTGGGGCAATTCCTAAGTATTTGACACATGTTTACTGTGCACATCACAAGACATACTTACAAGCAAGTAAATTCAAGGGTGTGTACATATTTCTGCCCAGACAAGCTCAGGAAAAATTCTAACAAGACTAAGTAGTGCCAAAAAATGCACTTAATCCTGCTCTAATAATTAGATTATTAATAAACTACACGGATATATTTTACAAGAACTACATCATAAATTAATTACAGGGGAGTCCCTGCTCCCTGAACTCACTTCCTGACTGTCACTGATTTAAACTCATCTCATACAGAACATCAGGACCAAGCATCAAAAGCTCTTTATCCTTGCTCATGGAATATGAATTGGGAGAAATTCCTCATATTGTGCATCGCTAAGTCAGTAGTGATGACTACCTGGAACTGAAACTGTCATTGAAAACATTTAATATGCTTATTTCTGCCCTTGGCCTTCAAACATTAAAAAGAAAAAAAACAGGTAGAGAAAACAATCCTCTGTTTTGTCATCTTCTCACAGAACCAGGAAAGACCTGTAAATACCAAGTAGAAGAAATAACTGTAACTGTTGTTGTAATTGCACTAGAACCTACTGTCCCAACCTCTATCACCTCCAAAGCTCCTGGTTTTTAACTCACTCTGCCCGTCTCACAGCAAGAGGCTCTTCTGAACATCAGCCAACCTCTTAGAAGAGACAAAATCTTTCCACTATAATTTATGCCGAGCTCTTCCTACGGCAGGACCCGGCTGCGAAGCGCACGGATCACACAAGAGGCAAAAACACCCTTCCTGGGACCTCGGTGGCGGTCGCTCCTTCCCTGCAGCTATTTACAACACGCAACTCTGCCCGTAGAAGGCATTAAAAACAGCACCGCACGCACACCCAAGCAAGCGCGAGTAGCCAGTCTCGGTGTTGCGGCAGAGTCGGTGATACGGAGCCGCCCCAGGAGCG